AGCAGAAAAAAAGTTCAGACTCACTTTTTGATGCTTTAAATTGAATTTTTGCGGTGAATTTGTCACAGAATATATTTTAGGACTACTTTTAGATGAAACATTAATATCTCAATTTTTTCGAACAATGCACTTATGCACCTTGTCCTCCAAGCACCTCAAATGTTCATTGCATCATTAGGTTTATTGTCTTAATGAACTCCATGACAGTTGCAAGAGACTTTAGGACACTTTCAAACATAAACACAATGAACTTAAGTTATTTATAAAGTGTTTTTAACACTTTGAGTTGAGCAAATTAACCGAAATTTGACTAAGGTCCAAATCTTGGTAGTTGTGTAAAAAATTTTGCACACAGCCAGTGAAAAAAATATTCAGAGTTTTGGCTACTGACAATTAAGTATCAAGACATACTTAAATAAGAACAATACAGACAAAGAATGATGACCAAGGAAAATAAATTTTTGGAGATATGCGTAAGTAACATGGTAACTAAAAAAAGGAAAATTCTCACGAAATACTGTCAGTGAACAATCAGAGGGAGAGAGAGGCATCATCTTCAGTTGCCGATTCATTTTCGAAACTTTCATTTTCGAAACTTTCCTCTTCGGCACTGGAATCATCCGTCTCAGCAGAATCTGGAATTTCCAGATTGCGCCTGAAAAAAAAAAGAAATAAATTAATCACTGACTGTCACAGCTGAGGAAAGACGTTATTACAAGACCACATTCTCTGAAGGTGTTGGCGAAAACACAACTCTGAGTTTCCTCTTTCGGCACCCAGTGCCCTTCTTTTCATTGTCGGAAGCACTCTTGGTGCTGCGATTGCTATTCATTCTAACGCTGTTTTCCCATGCATGATCATAGATAGCTGTTGCAAACATAGAAAAGAGAAAAGGTCAATATAATGGACTCCTTGCTTCCCTTACACTATTACACTAGATACTTCCTTGTCACCTGCTCATTACCTCATTAACTGTTTTGGCACTTGAGTAAGTTGTTCAATTTGAAAACAAAAAATAAAAATTAAAAAAACAAAAAAGAAGTATGAGTATAAAAAGTGTTTAGAATTCCATCTAAGGTCAAGCTCTCTGACATGATCGAACTGACATGCGATGTATCGCATCCATTAGATCAAAAATATCAGCAGATTTTAGTGTTTAACCAAAAATAGGACGATAGCCCCTGCGCATAAGCCTACATGATCCTTTAAAACCAAAAAATGGGGGAAATTTGGGAAATGAAAGCAGAATCCTGTTTGGAAAAAACCTAGCTTTCGATACGAAAATCAATTTCTGTATCGAATGCGAGGTTTTCCTTCAAACAGGATTCTACTTTCATTTCTCTGAATATTGCTAATTTTTTTGTTTAAAATGATCATGTACGCTCATGTGCAAGGGCTTTGGTCCTTACAGTGGCAAATTTTTCAAAATCTGCTTAGATTTTGGACCTAATCAATGCGGTATGTCGCATGCCTGTTCCACCATGTCAGAGAACTTGACAAATTGCCTTAACATGCAAGTTACAAGTTCCTAAAAAATTATTGAAATCGATTGTAGTAAGATTTGTTTCATTTTTTTAGCAAATTGTTATGCTATTTTGTGGACAGAATTAGAGGATAACGGAAACGTTTGTATACATTTATGTTGGCCCCATGCACAAAGTGCCTTTGAGCAGAAGCACATCAAACCGCTCGAAAGAAAAGTATTGACTATTCATATAAATTCCTTGATATTTTTATTTCATTATTCTGTTTAAAATTCTGTCCACCCTCTGGTGAAAAATAGAATTATCTGCATACAAACAGATACAGCAGCAACCAATTCAGTAAGTAAATGCAGGGAAAGATTAGTACAACTGTAAATTTCTGAATGTACTCACAGTATTGATATTTGGTCTCTCTCACTCGTAGCTGTTCCCAGTCAGGCTCCGGCTTTGCTTTATTTTTGGCCCTATATTTAGGCATTGAGGACGGATAATAGCTTTTATCGTGCTTGTCATCAGTAAACCACAAATTTGGAATTACGTCAAAGACGATTACTCCTTTGATGTTTTTATACGAAACTATGGTCCAATCCTTCTGAAAAACAAAAAAGATGTTGGCTTGAAATAATCATATGCACATAATAAGTACTGAAAAATTAAATGCCCACCTTCATCGGTATATTTGAAATTAGAGGATTACACAGAATTTTATGAGATAGGTATACCTATGAATAGAGAATTTGCGGGTGTCTGAATTTGATGAATTTCGTGCGTTTAAGTGGAAACTATTAAGTGAACTAAACATGAGAATACACTTGGTTCACGAATTGACGTCACTAGGCGGTGCATTTTCTCACTCATAAATCTATTTTTATACTGTTCCCCACAGGCCCGCCACTAGGGAGGGGATACTGGGTCCTTGGTACCGGGGCCCGTGACGCAGGTGACAAACCATTACGAATTCATGTGTAACCCTTGTCTCGTAGGGAAAAGTGAAAAAATTACCCTAAAAATTCCGCAAAAGGTGAATCAAGTTTCAAAAACACGCTAGGGCACTATAAAATTTTTCTTACTTTTTTAGAGATTTTCAAGATTTTGAGTACCTATATGTAGAATGATATTTTTAGTAACTGTGTTTCATTTTCTTCCCTAGTAGCAAAAATACTAGTATCAGATACGGTATCTTCAAATACCGTATTTAATTCGTATGTTATATGTATTTTATACATGTATTAAATACTTGAATCTAGATACAGTATAATATATGTATTTTATACATGTATTAAATATAAGTATTTGGATTCAGTATTTAATATAAATTTTATACATATAAAATAGATGAATTTTATAGCGAAATAAAATTTGTATTTTATATGTATTTAATTTTTCCCCCTGCCCGGCGAGGGCACTCCATGGTGAGTACCTAGGTATCAGTCATGTTCCCCAAGCAGGCCCCCCACATCCATCGGTGGGCCCCGGGGTCGGATCAGTCAGCGGGCCTCTCTTTTAGTAAACTATCTAAGGGGGGTCTGGGGGGACCGCCCCCAGTAGGTGGGGGGTTTGGGAGGCCACCCCCGAAATTTTTTAAAATTTTGCCTCCAATCTAAGTAATTTTTTAATTTAGAAGAAAGATGCAGAAAGTTCTAAGATGGTTAGTCGTATGTTCAAAAGATAGAACTTACAAAAATTAAGTAGGCAGTGTAAAATATGGTCATGTGGTATCTGATTTTTGCATTTGCCCATAAAATGGAGCTTTTCTGAGTGGTATAAGTTGAAGGCTACAGGGACACATCTTTTGCATAAGAAACATACTCCTATTTATGTACTCATTTGCCAACGTGTGTTACATATACACTTCCTACTATTTGTATATGTAGTAGATGCATGTTAAATTTGTATCAATGGTATGCATGATATGCAGTAAATTCATCCCTGCTAAAAATGTTTCATGGAATTCCATGGTATTCCGTGCTGTTTTCCATGGAATTTCATGGTGAAGACACGGAACTCCATGGAGAAGGCACGGAACTCCATGGAGACTCCATGGAGGAGACACGGAACTCCATGGTGACACCTGGGTTTCCATGGTGACTACATGGGATTCCATGGTGGCAGCAGAAGATTCCGTGGTGGCTACATGGAATTCCAAGGGAGTGTCACGGAATAGCAAAGGACATGCATTGAAACGCCGTGAAACATTGGAGACCACCACAAGAATCAACATGGTAATCTGGAAGCCTTTGATCATTGACTATCAGCAACTATTTGCTGTTTCGTTATGCATTATAGAATTAAGTTGAACTATACTCACCGAAGTTCACTAATGAGGGCCACTAAAATGTTTCATGTCATCAGTTATCACAGAATAAGTCTTGATTAGTGCACTGGCTACAACCGTCCTACAACCATGGCATTCCCAAGACAATGCCCACCATTTAACAATTGTACCAGTCGGTAGCAATTACTTTTCACACAGAGAAAGTATTCATTTAAAATATGATCAACTTAGAGATTTGCTATGGCTGACAGAGATGTAATAATAATTTGCCGCTTATACTCTGTTTAAGACAACTGAAATAACCGCAATAGTATGTCAAAAAACAGAAAACACGCAGCTTCTTCAAACCACGCATACAACGTAGGTACAGCTTTAAAGTCTGTCAATTATAAATCAAACGTCTATGTTTTGCAAGATTAGTTTAGACACTGACTATTCAATAGGATGATATTATGTACAGTGGAAAGCACGAAGAAAGACAGAGACTTTCAATTTTTTAGAATTTTCATTGGGGTAGGGGGAGTTAACTGCCTATGAAGGAAGTGTGTAACAAACTGATAAGGCAAAGTAGCGCCTGAAAGCAAGTTATATCCGATTGCCTTTACTGAAGCTCACTCATCATACTTCCAAATCTCCTGTGTGAAACCAACATTGAATTGTAGAAAGAACCGAATAGCTGTAATAGGAAAATCAATGAGAATTGAGATGTATCTATCAGAATTTTTTCATTCTATTTCTACGCATGGCCAAAATAAAAATTTGAGGAGTGATTACCAAGAATCCATCACGATACACTGCTGGCTTACTTTCAGTTTAATCAAAATCTACCAACTTCGAGGTAACATTACTTTCGTAACGAAGAAGGCTCGAATTCGAGCTGAAACTACTTAAATCAAATAAAAAAATTAAAACTTACATTATGTTCTGGCAGTGATAACCAACAACTCATCTTGTGTTTCTTTACGATTTAGCTCCGGCTCCTGTGTTGCAATCCTGCCCTATTTCATGTTGAAATTTTATTTTAAAAAAATGAAAGCAAGAATAGAACGCAAAAGTTGAAGGTGTGACATATGAAACATTATTGGCGTTACGCATTTCAATAATAAATAGGCAAATGAGTTTTTATAGATCATGCAGATTTAAATAAAAAATCCTCAATTCAATTCGGCAACTCAGGAGATGTGCCACCCCGCTCTGCCTCGCCCTGCCTAGTCGGTATTTTGAGGTTAGATTATCAACGAGGCGAGATGTCAGGCGCTGTGAGGTGAGGCTCTCGCAAACTTTACAGTAATTCTCAGATCAGTATATATTTCTTGACTTCCTGCTTTCGCTACATTACGCCAAATCCGAGTTGAATGCAAGGGCCTTGAACTGAATCTAGGTAAGTCATGAATAACAATGATTAGCAATTCCCATTACTGAATGTAGGCACCAATAGGTAGTGATCCATCAGCGCTCAGTAACCTCTTTATAGATATAGAATCATAGCATTATGTACATTTATTTCTGCATTTTGATAAACTATTCTAACATTATTTGTTGAATAGTAGATTCATATGGGCTCACCATTTTCTCTATCTTCTCTTTGGTCACTCCTCCGAGTCAGCACCTCAAACATGAACCGTGATCGAATTTTGGTCACAGTCTCCCTTATCGTGTTTTCAGCACATGCTAAACACTCTAACTGCATTCCATTCCTAGCTGCTCATCAGCTCATGTCATCGTCCCCCTAAGGGATAATATCAGATTTCTGTCAAATCATATGAGATCGCCATCTCCTATCGTTTGCCGTAACCCATATAGACTGTGTATTAAATTCACGGGTGAGAACTAGGACTGAAAAAGAAACCATAATTACAGGCCCTCCTAGATTTTTTTGCCGTGTGATGGAAACTAAAGCCCACCTCAGATAGTCCAAATTTTCCTCCACTTATTTTGAGTGTAAAGTTGGATTGTTTGATACGGACACGAGAACATAGAGCTCGGGCATCGTATGTTAAGACAATCGTCAATCTCTGATTAGCTCTGAATTTGCACCACTTAACAGGTTGATACATGTAGTCAGGTGGCACCACTGGTGAATGGTGACATAAACAATACTTTTGACGTCTTTGTCTCAACATATAATGCCCGAGCTCTAACATTTGTTCGAGAAGTTGAACGGAAACTTTGGTGTGATGTCACTTTCAAATTTTTGTTCAACCTCTCAAAATATTGTTGTGTTCTCGTGTTGTATTACACGATCCAACTTTTCATTTGACACAAGTGGAGGAAAAGTGTGGCCGTCTAAATTGAGCCTTAGCTATTACTGGGTATTTTTATTCACAAATGTGAGTAGTGTGAGAGATATATCTGAAGTTACAGATGAGGCCTGAAACTCCTAACTCTAGAGGGCTAAAACATCACATCCTTATCAATGATGTTTCAGCGAATTATCAGATGTCCAATAATTTACTTCCTATTTTTATGGCTACCAATACAATAATTTTGAGGTTTTCAACAAGAATTTTATCTCATTTTTAGCCATAAAAATTATTTGCTATCCTCAGAACTTATTTTAACTTCTCAAGAAATGTTGGTTGGCTTCACCTTGAGATTGTTTTAATTTAGTGCTGATCATTGGTTGTACTCAAGGTTTTGATGCACTGTACATTATTCATTTTTCAGAGCTTTCATAAAGACACTCCAAGACATTTACCTGCTTTGTTCAGCTGCAGCAATCGCCATTTGTTTCCTATCATCTGGCAGTTCCTTTGATCTTATCGAACAGCCATTCGCAGGGAATTGGTGGCAACTTTTAAACCATCCAGATGCAATTAAGCTTCTCAGACAGAAACCAAAATCTACAGTTCATATATCACTCTCTTGCCCGCTAATTTGGACAGTGTTGTGATTATTTTTGGTGCTGTTTTCCGTGCTTATTGTGAAATAATTTAAATATTTTATCACAATGTCAACTTAATGAAATCTACATTTAAACATTGCACGTGCAGTATGTGAAGTAAAGGTACAGTGCGGTAGTTTCTCAGTTGTATAAACTGTTAAAAGAATTATTACATCTCTGTCAAGTATAGTTGGTACCATGTATCTTCAAGTTGGTGAGTGTATCATTTTCATTCATTTTGATTACAAGGTAAACTTGTAAATTTTTTAATTAAATATTAAGAAAACCAGCAAATTTGAGTAGAACAGTTTTATGATGACTTATAGAAACAACACCATAGTAAATTGATGGTGGAAACCTGCATGAGGCACAATGAGTGCTAAGGAAGGTTTCCACGGTACAAATTTTCTGTGGTGAAATGTTCCATGGTAAAATTTTCCGTGGAGAAATTTTCCATGGAAAAATTTTACGTGGAGAAATTTTCCATGGAAAACACCACGGAATTCCATGGAAAATTTTTAGCAGGTATTCAATTCGTTTCTGGATACATATTTAATTCGTATCTAGATACGTATTTAATTCGTATCTAGATACGTATTTAATTCGTATCTAGATACGTATTTGATACAGAATAATATACGGCAAAAAGAGCAAGTTTATACAGTATTTGGATACCGTATTTAATACGTATTTTCCAGTATTTAATATGTATTTAATACGTATTTGGATACGAATTTTTTTTGAATCTTCATTTGTATTTTATATGGTATTTTGGCTACTAGGGTTCCGTTGTCGGATGCTAAGAGGCTCCTTTCTGGGCATCCTCGACTTCAATGGCTTAACTCCCTTGCCCTAGACGTACGAAAGGAGAGTCCAGGGGGCCCGGCTTCCCATAGAATTGAAAATTATCATCTGCCCCCTCAAAAAAAAAATTTATAGATGTTTTGAATGCAACAATTCGAAAGTTTTTGGTGCTGAAAGTAAACAAAAAAGCGTAATTATTCTGCAGAAATTGATGGAAAATCTCCATCATAAGAGCTTCATGATGCGTCCAAATAGATTTAAAATTTCAAAAATTTCCCGGGGGAGGCCCCCCGGACCCCCCCCCTTTGTGCTAGGGGCCCGGGCCAGAAAATTGGTACCAGAGCCCGAGATGGGATGTGGCGGGCCTGGTTCCCCATACCAGCAAAAATTATAAAAAAATACTGTGGAATCAGCTCTTTAAGCACTTTCAGATGAAGCAATAAAAAATTTGCATGCAAATTCTCCATTAATTTTCAGACTAAAATCAGGTGGAGAGTAGAAAGTGGGAAAAGTGCAAGAGAAAAAATATGATTATCCTAGACACTTTTATTTGGAAACTGTATGTACTTAAAAACTTCCCTGACATTTCTGAATTTTTGAGCGAGTTTTTTTGCTTTCCCAGGTTTCTGAGACACACATCTTAGCCCTTTACTTTCCTAGATCGTAAAACACCCTTGCTGCTGCTAGTTACTAATACTAGACAGAGATAACAACGATATATTTTTGAAACTTTAGGTATCGGGATTCCGGTGGAGGAAAAAAATTCCGATGACTAAACAATTAAGTTACCTGAGGGATGATAGATTCTGAGCAAAAAAGAGCCTCGCCAAGTTTAGCCCCTTTTTTTTATACCCGAGTTGGTCAACCGGACAGTGCTCAAATGAAAGCCTATGGTAAGGCAAACTTCCATGCAAAGTTTCAACTTGAAGTGACCCCTCGTTTAGGCTGTACGGCGTTGCCAATTTTCCAGTTTCATGTGCTAAAATCAAGGATATTGGACTATTAGTCCGGTGCATAAGTAGACTAGTACACCCGAGTTGGTCAACGAGACAAGGCTCAAACGAAAGCTTAAGGTAAGGCAAACTTCCAGGAAAAGTTTCAACTTGAAGTGACCTCTCGTTTAGGCTGTACAGCGTTGCCAATTTTCCATTTTTATGCGGTATACTCACGGAATACTGGATCATCATGGTTCAACAGACTATATACCCGAGTTGGTCAACGAGACAAGGCTAAAACGAAAGCTTATGGTAAGGCAAACTTCCGGGAAAAGTTTCAACTTGAAGTGACCTCTCGTTTAGGCTGTACAGCGTCGCCAATGTTTCATTTTTATGCGCTATACTCAAGGAATACTGGATTCATCATGGTTCAACAGGCTAGTACACTTGAGTTGGTCAACGGGACAAGGCTCAAACGAAAGCTTATGGTAAGACAAACTTCAGGGATAAGTTTCAACTTGAAGTGAAACCTCGTTTAGGCTGTACAGCGTTGCCAATTTTCCATTGTTATGCGCTATACTCACGGAATACTGGATCATCATGGCAACATTGTGTTCGAAATTCAATTTTCTCCGTCTGTAGCGTTCATTTACCATCGAGTCGTACTTTTAAGCCCATACTCATCAAAGTTATAGCCCATTAGGGTACGTTTTCCGCCAAAAATCTCGAAAAAACCCTAATTTTATGTAAAAAAAATTAATAATATTTCGGCAACACTGCTTCGAAAAGTTCACGATGGCCTCTAGTTGCCTCTTCGATCTCAGGGTAGTATTCAGCTCGTAGACCGATGCACTAGTCTGTTTAATTATGATGCACTGGACTATTTTAGTCCCGAATTCCTTGATTTTAGCACATAAAAATGGAAAATTGGCGACGCTGTACAGCCTAAACGAGGTTTCACTTCAAGTTGAAACTTTGCATGGAAGTTTGCCTCACCAAAAGCTTCCGGTTGAGCCTTGTCTCGTTGATCAACTCGGGTATACTAGTCTGTTGAACCATGATGATCCAGTATTCCCTGAGTATAGCGCATAAAAATGAAAAATTGGCAACGCTGTACAGCCTAATCGAGAGGTCACTTCAAGTTGAAACTTTGTATGGAAGTTTTCCTTACCATAAGCTTTTGTTTGAGCCTTGTCTCGTTGACCAACTCGGGTATACTAGTCTGTTGAACCATGATGAATCCAGTATTCCTTGAGTGTAGCGCATAAAAATGGAAAATTGGCAACGCTGTACAGCCTAATCGAGAGGTCACTTCAAGTTGAAACTTTGCATGGAAGTTTGCCTTACCATAGGCTTTCATTTGAGCACTGTCCGGTTGACCAACTCGGGTATAAAAAAAGGGGCTAAAAAACACCACTTTTTGGCGAGGCTCTTTTCCAACATAAACAAGGTTACTTTCCAAGTGCTTGGATTTCATGAAAAGACATGAGGTTCTGAATGTACAGTGCGAGTACAGAAAGTTGTGACTTGAGACACAATTTGTGACTTTGTATGAGCCCAAGACTGTGGAATTCAGAGAGACTACAGAGGGTGGAAGTTCAAGGAGATGATCCGCATGATGCCAAATCTTGACATCAAGTAATAATGGAGACCGTTTGATGAGTTTCAGTGAGGTTCATTAATGAGGTCAATGCTGACACATCAATAGTTGATTTGCAATACTTAATTTTTCATTAATATTTTAAGCCAAATTTACTGGTGTTGCATCCTTCAAGTGAAAAAAATTATTCTGTGACTGTGTGCAGCAATGGGAAGAGGATGAAACCCTCTCCATTACTGTCATTCAAGCACACATATTTACAAGCAATTTTTGATACTGCACGTTTTGTTAGTGATGATAATTTGTTGGCCTTATGGATTCCATACAATGAGCTGGGACAGACGGTGGAGTAAAGGTCAGCAAGACCAATAAACAATCTTCCAATTACAACTTCACAATTCAGATCTTCGACGAAGGCCAAATTTTCTATTCTCATGATTTCACCATTTTCAAAGCCACAGCAACTGTTTGCTGTAGATGCAGTTGTCAATTTGAAAGATGGATAAATTATCCAAGTATACTGAGGGCTCCGGCAACCTTCAAGGAGAGGACCTCTATTATGGATACCGCCAAAGGACACGTCCTTTGATACTATAGTAACTCTTTTCTTTTGCACAAATTCGCTCTGTAAACCTTCAGCAATTCTTCGCCCACATTGCTCTATTTTCTTGGGGTAGGCTCGAGCTTGACGCTTCAATTCCTGCATGAAGTTTTCAAAATCAAATGTTGAAACAGTATCAGCTGTGCAGGAGGGAATGATCTCACGGAAGAACCTAATATCATCCGGTAAGTGAATCAGGTTGTGCATCATATGCGTCATGAAAGTGATTGTGTAGAGAGCAGGTACGGCACTAACGAAACTTTTCAACAGCTGCTCAGCATAATCAAGTTGATCTGGGTCGGCGCAGTGTTTCGGGCTGACTAAAATTAAAATAGCCAAATGGAACATGATGAAATGATTATAACGGTCTGGCTGCAAAACGTCTTTTAAAAGTACAGGACCCAGGTACAAAAGCCAAGTACGACACTCAGTTGCTTTATAATGAGCTAAGACTTCGATGCGTCTAGGTTTTTGTCCTGCAAACTCGTAGGGTAAATCAGCGCTCTGTTGGACTATTTCCTTAGAAACTCTTTGCTTCATATGTGCTCCTACGTTGAATTTGGAATCGTTGTCAAACCACACTGTCAGGAAGAATTTCATTCCGCTATGCAGAGTTAAATGTTGGTAATCAAGACTCATCGAATGGCCAAAATCCAAACCGGGAATTTTCAGGAGCGGAGTGTTTCGACCAGGAGGTCTATGAGCAGTGTCATCTCTGTTCCTGAACTCCAAGTCTGTCCTTGCTTCACAGCTGACTTCATTGAAAATTCGCTTATGTGATTTCTTCACTGTTTCACCTCTTACAGTGACAACTTGAATGTCTTCCCCTTCAATTTTACACCGGGTACAAGAAAAATATCCATTAGGGTACACAATACCGAGCAGGAGCGATTTGGCAGGACCATCACCCTAGTAGCACAATTAGTGTTTAAAATGTTTCAAAAATGTGTCACTGATGTCAAAAAACATTGTCAGCACATTCCATCGAAACATTTTAAACACGTTCAAAATTTTTTCA